ATTCTGACAAGTGTGAGATAGTATCTCATTGGATTTTGTTTTGCATTTCCCTGATAATGAGTGATGTTGAGCATCTTTTCACATGTCTGTTGGCCATCTGTGTCATCTTTGGAAAAATGTCGATTCAGATCTCATTTTTAAAATAGATTGCTTGCTTTTTTGTCATTGAGTTATATGAATTCTTTATTTTTTTATATCAGAATGTGATTTGCACCTATTTTCTCCTATCTAGTAGGTTGTTTTCGTGTTTTGTTGATGGTCCTTTGCTATACAGAAGCTTTTTAGTTTACTGTAGGAAATAGCAGTTGTTTATTTTCACTTGTTGCTTGTGCTTTTGGTGTCAAATCCAAAAACTCCTTGGCAAGACTGATGTTAAAGAGCTCACTACCTGGGCAATCTGGGTGGCTCAGCGGTTTAGTGCCTGCCCAGGGCGTGATCCTGGAGACCTGGGATCGAGTCCCACATCAGGCTCCCTGCATGGAGCCTGCTTCTCTCTCTGCCTCTCTCTCTCTCTGTGTGTCTCTCATGAATAAAAAAATAAAATCTTTAAAAAAAAAAAAAAAGCTCACTACCTGTTTAAGGATTGTTATGGTTTCATATCTTTCAAGTCTTTCAAACATTTGAGTTTTTTGTGTATTGTGTAAGGTAATGGTTCAGTTTCATTGTTATGCATATGGCTATCCAGTTTTCCCCATGGACTGTTCTTTCCCTATTGGATTTTCTTGGCTCTTTTGTCTTCGGTTAGTTAATTGACCATTCATGTGTGGATTTGTTTCTGGACTGTCTGTTCTCTTCCATTTATCTGTGTGTCCATTTCTATGCCAATACCATACTGTTTTGATGACTATTGCTTTGTAATATAGTTTGAAATTAGGGAACATGATGTTTCCAGCTCTTGTTCTCTAGAACTTCTCAAGATTGCTTTGGCTATTCATGATCTTTTATGACGATCCCATACAAATTTTAGGATCGTTTGTTATATGTGTTGGTAAATGCCATTGGAATTTTGATAGTGATTGCATTGAATCTGTAGACTGCTTTGGGTAGTACAGTATTTTAATGAAATTCTTCCAGTCTATGAGCACAGAATCGTTTTCTGTATGTTTATGTCTTCAATTTCTTTCATCAGTTTCTTTTTTTTTTAATTTTTTTAAATTTATTTATTTATGATAGTTACAGAGAGAGAGGCAGAGACACAGGCAGAGGGAGAAGCAGGCTCCATGCACCGGGAGCCCGATATGGGATTCGATCCCGGGTCTCCAGGATCGCGCCCTGAGCCAAAGGCAGGCGCCAAACCGCTGCACCACCCAGGGATCCCTCTTTCATCAGTTTCTTATGATTTTCCATGTACAGGTCTTTTACTTCCCTGGTTAAATTTATTTCTAGCTGTTTTAATTCTTTTGATGCAATTGTTTTCTTAATTTCAGTTTCTATTAGTTCATTATTAGCAGCTAGAAACACAACAGATGTTTGTTAGTTTTGTATCCTGCAACTTTACTGAAGTCATTTATTCTAACAGTTTTTTGGTGGAGTCTTTAGTTTCCCATATTTAATATGCCATCTGCAAATAGTGACAGTTTTTCCTGTTTGTTTCTGATCTGAATGCCTTTTATTTTTTGCCTAATTGCTACTACTTAATCTTTCAGTGTAAAGGCATTAACTTGTCTTCCCACTGTGGATGATGGAGAATAAGCCTTCTTTCTTCGTTCTGTTTTTTATCATACAATACACAAATGGTCTTCCCATCTTCTACAACTTTCTAGTAGTTGAGTTATATAAGTATTCAAGTGTTTATATTACTATGACCACATAGGTCATTCTGAGCTTATTTTTCTTCTGCAATTATGTTATTTTTTTCTTTTGGGTGATTTTCCACTAGTACAAACAGATTTTCATCTCTCTCTTTAACTCCTTCTAGATCTCCATGGCATCCCATTTCTGTGCCTCTTCATCATAGCAGAGTGCTGTGAGCATTTGTCTGTTCTGTCTTGCTCCACTTCCTTTCTTTCATCCTCTCTGCTACCTCTAGCTACTCCAACTGGGCTTTGGTTTCTACCACTCCCAACAAGAAGACTCTTGTCACTGTTGGTCCCAAATGTCCTACACCTTGCCAAGGCAAAGATTAAATCTAAGTTTACATCTTCCTCAGCCTTTCTTCGGGTTTTGATGTGTTCGACACCTCCCTCCTTGAAACGCTTTCTTCCTTGGTTTCTGGGATTCCATCCCAACCTGATTTTCCTTCTGTGTTGTTGGTTATTCCCTTTATGTTTCAAGTGCTGATCCCACCCCTCTTCTAGTTTTTCCTCAAAAATGCTTGAGTGCGTGCCCCCAAGGATTCCCTCTGCCCCCTTCTCTTTGCTTTCCTTAAGGATCCGATCCCTTCCCACAGCTTCCAGCATCAGCTGTAGACTGAATTCCCAAATGTCTTAACTTTGGCCCAGAGCTTCCTAGAACTCCAGATTTAGGTATACAGTTGGCCTGTTCAGCATCTTCACTTGGGCCACAGCCAAGTTGTAGATTTATCCTCCCCATCAGATCCTCCAGCCCACTTTGCTCTTGTAGTCATGTCATCATCATCCAGTTGTTCAGGACAACTACCTATTAATCTTCCTTGGTTCCTTTTTTCCACATCCAGCGTATCACTACCTTCCAGGTACCTCTCAGAAACCTTTCTATAATTCTACATGTCCCACAGCACCATTGCTATGACCCTAATGTGATTCCTGCCTAGATTAACACCTGCTCCTTCCTAACTGGTCCCCTTACTTGCCTCCTTCTCTAATCCACCCAGCATCCCACAGAATGGTCAGAGATAGACTGAATCAGATCATTCATTCTGCTGCTTAAAACCTTCCAGTGGCTTTCTGTTATGCCTTGAACTAAACCCAGACCCCTTCTTTAAAGCCTTCTTTGCCCTTCCTGATGTGAGCCCTGCCCACCATTAGCTTCAAGTCCCCGTCTCCTTCCATTTTCTGGGCATAGCTGTTTTTTTTCCTGTTGTGTCCTGTTTCCTTCTTAAGCTTTTGTTCTTATTTTATTCAGCCTTGTATTGCAGAATGCCTTTCTCCCCCAACATCTTTGCTCCACCACCACTTTCTCCTTGTTTTGGTTTCATCTCTGCTATTGCTTTAGATAGAATGCTGTTCTGACTAAAGCGAAAGCAGCTCTTTACCTTATTGCATCACATTCCTTTTTTTATCTTCTCAATAGCACTTATTGTACCTGTAAGTATATTAATATGGCTTTCAGAATTTCAGTCTAGAATGTAATTCTAGAATGTAATCCCCTGTGTCCTTAGCCCTTGGGACAGTTATCTGGTACACGGGAGGAATGTTGTGGACTGACCAAGAGAATTCCTGACAAAAGAATAAAGCAGTGCATTTTGAATGTCTCTTTTCCCTTGTAATATTCCTGTTCTCCATCAGGAAATAGGGGAAAACGATTCTAACTGGGGAACCTTGAATTTGTTTTAGGCAACATTTCAAAGTACTTTAAATTCCTAGGACATTAAACCTACCCCCCTACCATGTTCAAATAGTACAAAAAAAAGTCTGTTGGTGGTAAATGGTATGACTTTGGGATAATCCATTTCTTTTCTCCATATCTCATAGATAAAAGTTGGCCACCAACTTTTTATGAATGTTAAGTGTTATGTCATAAAGGTTTACATCATCAACCATATTTGGATTTAAAATATCCTGTTATTATGTAACAGTTTGCTTTGTGAATGTATTTAACTGGGAATAGAATCAAATGTGTGAGCAGATCCACCATCAAACATGGCTTCAAGCTTTTAACTGATTTTCCTCCATATGATGTTGTAAAGGGAGGTAATTTTTTACTTTACTTTTGCATAGTTAGTGTACTTCTTAAATTGTTACAAGCTCCAAATTAGTGGAAATACATTAGTCTAAATAATAAAGGGGGGGGAAAGCACCTGGATGGAGAATTTAGTAATTTATGAATTTAATAAATTGTATGTTACTTGCATGTTTCTGGCACTTCTATCCCTGCCAGTTTCAGTTTTGTTTGATGACGCCTTAGTTGAAATCCCATTAGAGTTTCCAGAGTACTCTTGTGCAGACCATCTAACTTTGGCTTTGTAGTTTTAGCGAATGTCCAGCTTTTAGCTCTAACAAAGTAAGGTCTCATGAAATCAGGAAAATTTAGCTAGGGAGAGGTTGAGTGTGAAGCTGGATATCTGGGCTACTACGGAACATCTGTGTCTCATCCCGGCCTACCGGGGAGAGGGTGTGTATGGATGGAAATGAGCTGTCACACCAGCTTGGTGTGACACTAGGTATGTTGAGACCTACATGTGTCACACAGATAATTTTCAATGGATTCTTTTTAGCAACTCTGGTGAACTTTGCAAAGTGGCAGGTTCTTCCGTCCGTCCTTTCTTGCCTCCTCTCCAGGATTTGGTTATTTCCTGTGTTCTCCATATAATTGCCTTGACTGGCTTCTCAAGCATTTTTGTGCTAAACTTTCCCTTTCCAGTTTGATTTGCTGAGCCTGCCTCAGGCTATGGACTCTGAGTTAAGGACTCTGAAAGAGAGGCCTTAAACCCCCCAGAAGGAATCCTTTTAAAGAGTTGTTTAGTCCCCGAACAACAGTTGGGGATGTGTTTTGCATGAGTGTTTTCTTAAAGTTCTTCCCCACCTACTCCAGACTTCTGTCATGTGTGTGGCCTGACTAATAACAGTATTGAGCCCGCCTGTAGATACACATCTAGACGTACCACGCAGCTATTCTCTGTGCTTGGGTTCAAAACTGAGGGAAATGTAGCGGAAGAAAGTAGGATGATGGCAGCACCCAAAATACTCAAACTGAAAATATGTGATTCAAAGGAGAAGAGGCTCTGCTACACTCGTTTATCACCTCTGATCTTCAAAAAGACCTTATGTATTTAGTCCTGGATGCAGTGGTTATAGGCCTAGAGTAGAGAAATTGTGTTGAATTTCATTTATAATACATTGCATGTCTCTGTATTTTAACAGGGCAGTCCTGTATTGTATCGGAATGTTAGTTCCTTAAGGGAGCAAATGTCTGCCTTCCAGTCAGCTTTCCACTGCATAAAGGAGAATGAAAACATGACCGACTATCCTGGATTCTCAGAGGCAGAAGGAGAGTTCAAGACAACAGGCTCGAGTGAGTAGAAACCATGCAGTCAGTTTGGACTACTGTGTTTATTCAGAGAGCCTGTGCGGGATAAAAAAAATTTAGTTCCACAGTGTGAAGACAGTCTTTTCTGAGCAGAGCTGTATTTTTAAATGGAGCCTAACATTTAAAATTTGGAAAATTTCACACAAAAATTTGGATTTCTGGTTTGTCAAGAAAAAAACCTGATATCAAACAGTCCCAAGCCTGCATTTCCACATGGCCGCAGTTGAGTTTTAAGTGTTAACATGTCAGAGCTGGTTGACTGTTTCATCTTTAGAATAAGGACATGTGGCAAATTGGAGTATTCAAACCTTGATTTTTAGAGGTTTATTATTAAGTTTGGCAAGCATTTCTATGAATACCATACACCCAACTGTGATGTTATAAGCAGATATATCTAATCCGACATCTTAATAGCCTGTCCTATTCTCTACCATAACTTTTAGATTGCAATTCATTTGGTTATTTTGTCCTGTCACTTTTGATTTTCCAATCCTAAAGCATTTGAAAAACCAGAATTAGACAAAATCTTGACCTCACCATAATCATCATAATCATTCCTCTGGTGCTTTGCACACTGAGGTTTCAAATGATTTTGTTTTGGTTTCTTGAACCATCTTCAGGTACATTTCAACACCTCCTCTTGTTCAGTGTGCACCATTATTCAAGACAAGTCCAGTTCATCTCCTCCTCTGGCCCGTGACCCACTCCAACGTACTTGTTTGTAGTTTGTAACTTACCTATCTTTCACTTTTGACCTGCATTTTAAAATAATTTACTGACCTGATTGCTATAGTTCTGCAGGTGACTACATTGACTTTTTTGTGGCTAAGAGGAACTGAGGTGCATTTTGGCTGTATATTTCAGAAAATCATACATAGTCAAAGCAGAACCAGTATTAGAACATAACTACATCCATTAAAATGTTCAAAAGAGGGGCGCCTGGGTGGCTCAGTTGGTTAAGTGTCTGCCTTCGGCTCAGATCATGATCCTGAGGTCCTGGGATCCAGTCCCATGTCAGGCTTCTTCTCTGTGGAGAGCCTGCTCCCTCTTCCCCTCCACCCACTCATGTGCACACTCTCTCTCTCTTTCTCTCTCTCTCTCACTCTCACTCTCTCTTCCTCCCTCCCTCCCTCCCTCCCTCCCTCCGATAAATCTTTAAAAAGTTCAAGAGAAAAGGCCTCATTGTAAATTTTAAAATAGAGTGAGATACTCTATCAGAAATGGAAATGCATATTAGCATATCTTTGTACATTTTTAAAGTCTAGAAAAAAAATTTAATGTTTACCTTTTTAGTAGTGTTGCTCTCTTGCCTTTCAGTTAGATTTCTTCTGAAGAGAAAAATGTACTTTTAATTGATAAAGCGTTTAGACTCAAGTGTTACATTTCACTAAGATTATTTATAACGTTTAAAAGTGAACATTTATGCGTGCCTGCATTATGTTTTTATTTTGTTTTGTATATATAGCCAAAAAGGAAAGTCTTGGTGAATGTCAAGAGTCTGCATTCCGTGCAAACTTATCATCCAAACGTCGAAGGATATGCTCTCAGAGTAACTTTGATGAAGATCTAAGTGATGCGGTTCATCTGCAGATATTCAGTAGTGCCACTTCCAATGCAGGCAAAATGTGTGCTGTTGATTCTGCTTTTGCAGATTTTTCTGAGGTAATTCACTGACCAGAATCCTAGGAAAATGAAGCTTTGGTTTCTGGCTAGACAGTTTTAAGACCGTCAGAAACTTTTTTTCAGTTATGGTACCTGGTACTTAGATATTACAGCAGAGTTTTAAGTTATACTGTGTGTGTATGTGCGTGTGTATTTCTTGTCAGATTTTTTTGTTGTTGTTGGTTAGCTTATTGATTATTTGACGATTTTGATTAGTATGCTGCTTTTGGTTATGAAAAACACTTTATGAAACTACTAAGCTCTCTGGTCTTCTGCCTGTGAGGTATTGTTCTAGATACTGATGGTACAACAGAAAATCATGGTCCAGCCCTTGAGCAAATTTTAGTCTGCTGGAGGAGGCAGACACAGGAGCAGTTATTTACACTTAACTGGCAAATGAGTTGAAGACTCTATATGGGCTGTGCAACTCAGGTCTGAGGGTCTTACACTTTGACCTTTTCCGTCCCTAAGTGGTTCAGTACTGGCTGGGAAGCAGGGTGCTGTTTAGCCATTCCTCCTTTGTTCTGTTCACTTCTTTCAAGTAGCAGTAGGGATTTTTGTTCCCTACTTAAAGCCTCTCAAGATTATCAAAAGACGATAAACAACATAATTAAATACTACTATTGAGGATCCCTGACCTTCTCATCACATGTGAATGGGAAGCTAGTTCTCATCACTGGCTTTCCTTGCTTTAGTTCTGGTATGACCCAGCAGGTTCCCGTATCTTTAGTGAGAGGGGACACCTGACACCAGCAGATCTGAAACTTTTTTCTGTAGCTTCTCTGTCACAAAGATTCAGTACATATCCTGTTGATCTTATTGGACTAATATAATAAATGTTTGATAGTCATTAAAGATTTCTCAGGGTCTAATAGGTTTCACTTGGGAGTCACTTATAATCTCTGCTCCCTCTTTTTTTTTTTCTAGTTGTTATGAAATCATCCAGCAAAACCAATAGTTTCTCATCAGAACTTTGGACATATATTACGATTTGAAAATGGTGTCCACGTTATTATGAATGTGTTTTCTATCCTAGCCATTAATAGTTTTTCTATCCTAGCTATCGATACCTTGTTTAATAATTAACGTTTTTCATTATTTTTTTAAAGATGTATTTATTTATTTTAAGAAGGGGGCAGGGGAGAGCATGAGTGGGGGAAGGGCAGAGGGAGAAGGAGGGAGTATCTCAAGCAGGCTCCACAGTGAGTGGGGAGCTCAGCATGGGGCTCGATCTCATGATCCTGAGATCTGACCTGAGCCGAAACCAAGAGTTGGATGCTTAACTGACTATACCACCCAGGTGCCCTCATTTTTCATTATTTTTGTGATTTTCCTCTTTAAAATCCATCAATATAGTTTTCTGGACTTCAGACTGTAAGGCAACAAAAGTGTGTCCTATAAACTTTTCTTAAGGAGCTGAAATCTGGGGATGCCTGGATGGCTCAGCAGTTGAGCATCTGCCTTTGGCTCAGGGCGTGATCCCGGAGTTCTGGGATCGAATTCCACATTGGGCTTCCTGCATGGAGTCTGCTTTTCCCTCTGCCTATGTCTCTGCCTCTCTGTCTCTCGTGAATAAATAATAATCTTTAAAAAAAAAAAAAAAGCTGAAATTTGTTTGATAGGATGTTTAGGCTGCAGTTACAGTGAATACTGTGTTTTTAGTTCAATTGCTGTGGACTTTCATAATAATCAGCTAGGTCATGATTTGACATCAGATTTCTAGATAATCTCTAATGCTTACAAAGATCTCCATACTCCTGTGAGTAGTAAGATTTAACATTTCTTTAATTCTTCCCTCAAGAAATCTTTTGAATCTGGCTTAACACAGTCTGGATGTTTAGTTGAAGAGTCTGTTTCACTTCTAGAGCTCACAGAGGCTTCAAATGGTAAGTATTTAATCTTTCCTTAGTACTTGTGCCAGTTGATCTATGTGCTAAACTTTGGGGAAACTGAATCCATGCCCTATATTTTAGGAGCTCTTGGTCTAGTTGGAATGTTTCGGAATTGCTGTTATATGAGAGAACAACTTTTTTTTTTTTTTTACTTTAACTGCCACTGATAAGAATAAGTGAAATATTTCCAAGTTGATAGAATCTATTGTAAAAAATAGGATGTCTGAACGCACAAGTGTATTTTGTAAGAGAAAACACATGCGTTGTTTTATTTTTTGTTTTGTTTTCTTGTTTTATTTTGTTTTTAAGTGTGGAAAGGGACTAGCGTTTATAACTTTCCCTGAATCAATATGCTTGTATTGAGTGAAAGTCACCAGTTAAGGTATTAGGTTTACTTTCAACCCACCTGTGTCTTTATCTTTAAAGTAAGACTTACAGATATATATAGACTTCTCCCTTGTTCTCTTCATCTACCTGTTGATTCGTAACCCTTATCTTTCCTTTAGTAAACTGGCAAACAGTAGTTCCCTGAATTCTGTATGCTGCTCTGGAAAAGTTAAAAGAACATTAAGGAGGAGGTCCTGAGAACCTCTTGATTGATAGCCATTCTGTCAGAAGTATAGGTAACAATCTGGACTTGTGACTGACATCTGAAGTCTAAGGAGGAGGTTGTTGAAACTCCAGTCTGTAGCATGTCAGTCAGAAGCAAAGGTGACAGCCTGGCACTTGGGGCTGGCATCTTAAATTGGAGGTAGGGGACACTCTTATAGGATTGAGCCCTTAACCTGTGGAACCTGATGCTATCTCTGGGTAGTGTCAGAATTGGGTTGAATTCTTGGATACCCTGCTGGTCTAAGATAAGAGTGCCTTGGTGGTATTGTGTGTTAGAAAATCCCTTACCCCCCCATGTTGGAATTGAGTCCTGGAACCCAAAAAAGAGTTCAACCTGAAAACGAACTTCCTTTAGCATCTTGTAATGTATGCCTGCTCCGACTTAATTTGAATCAAAATGGATGGGTCACAGAGCCAGATTTATAAACTGGTTACCCAGATGAAATAAAATAGTCTTACCTTCATCATTTCTTAACAATTCTCTTGCTTTCCTCCTGTGGGACTTCGTCTTAAATGACAGATCCTTTGATAGTAGTTACAGAATGTATGAGGTGTGGTCATTAAAACCTGTCACTAAATAAGACACCTCCCTCTACATCACAAGAGCCAACATATCCCATTTTAACACCTCACTAGGCTCTAAGCAGAAATATTGTATGACAGGAAAGAAGAGCTTTGATTAAAGGAGTCTGGTCAGCACCAGTTTAGCACTCCATGTGCTAAACTGGTTTTTTAGTGGCACCCCAGAGTTAATTCTGCCCCAAATAGTCCACCTTTCGGAAGGGTGAAAAGATTTTGTAAAGGAGGATAGATGACACTTGGAGGAAGGCTTGCAGAGGAGAACCTGCAGGATAGCTCCACGGTGTCCTTGCCTACTCCACTTCGTCTGTTTCACCCACCTAGCTGGAACTCTGACCCAGAGACCTGTGTATCTGCTCTGTTCCCGCCCCACATATGTCTGTGCAGAGTCGTGTGTGTGCTGATAGCCTCACCGCATGTTTTGTCTGCCCAGGGGACCTCAGTGCTGCCTGGCTGTCCCTTCTGTTCCTTGATCACCTCATTTTTGTACCTCCTCTTTTCACTCGGGCTTCTAATCCTCTAATCCTCCTTCCCTTGCTTCCCCCTTTTTCTTTTTTAAGATATTTATTTATTTATTGCAAAAAATAATTCTTCAGTGTAAGCATGTTTCATGCAGTATTTTTCTTCCATATCAACATACATACACATAATTAGATATCATTCAAAATTGAATTGGACCTCATGCATTTGTATTTGTTAAATCTGGCAGCCCTACTCATGAATGACTGATATAAGTTTCTTGTGCCTCTTTGTAGTCCATGGCTGCTTCTGTCACCAAGAGAACAGAAGATGTCAGAAGCAAGTGGCCTGGGGCAATCCCCACCACACTCGTGCCTCTCCAAACAAGTGTGGTGTGCCCCTCCCCTTCCTTCTATTATGGTAGATCTCCATGCTCTGATCCAAGGGTAATCCCTTCCCTCTTCGAGGACCTTCTGCTTGAGGTGTTTCCTCTTCTCCTTTTTTTTTTTCCTCTTCTCCTTTTAACACAATGTGCTATATTATCTCCCATCTTCAATTGGCCCTTGTCCCAGGTTTCCTTTCCAGCCAAAACCCCATGTCTTTGCTTTCCTCTATAGCAAAGCTCCCTTTAAGACCAGGTCATGCTCTGTCTCCTAGTCTCCCATTCTCTCTCTCTCTCTCTCTCTCTCTCTCTCTCTCTTTTTAAGATTTTATTTATTTATTCATGAGAGATGCAGAAAGAGAGAGAGAGAGGCAGAGACATAGGCAAAGGGAGAAGCAGGCTCCATGCAGGAAGCCCGATGTTGGACTCGATCCCGGGACTCCAGGATCATGCCTTGGGCTGAAGGCAGGCACTAAACCCCTGAGCTACCCAGGTATCCCTCCCATTCTGTATTGACCCAGCTCCAAACAGGCTTTGGTCACCAATAGCCTCTTTGCTATCCCAGTAGTTCCTCTCAATAGAACCTCTTCTCGGGGTCCCAGTGTGGCAGGCAGAGCTGCCAGGGCCTACCAGGGGAAATCATGTCTTCACTGGGCATCGGGACACCATTCTCTATTGTTTTCCCTTCTTCTACTGATCATTCCTTGTCTGTTTTCTTTATTTCTTCTCTTCCATCCTTTAACTTTTCAACACTTGAGTGCCCTGGGTTTAGTGCTCAGACTTTTCTTCTCTGCACTCACTCCCTAGGTGATTGTGGGTATTCTCACGTTAAATGCTATCCACAATGCTGTTGACTCCGAAACTTAAATACCTCTCTTTGGCCTCCTCCCTGAACTCTCAGGTGCCCAATTGCCTTTTCCTGTCTCCACAGGAGTATCTGATGAACATCTCAGACTTAACATACTTAAACAGGTCTCAATTACTTTTCCTTCCCAGTCTGCTCATCTTTTTTTCTTTTCTCTTTTTTCATCTCAAAAAAACGATACTGCCATTCACCCAGTTGCTTGTATCAAAAACCTTGGAGTAACCTTGGCCACCTCCCTTATAAAGGTTAAACTCCAGGGGGCCCCTGAGTCACTCAGTTGGCTAAATGTCCGGCTTTAATGTTGGGCTCAGGTCAGGATCTCAGAGTCCTGGGATTCAGCCACATGTCGTCGGGCCCCACACTCAGTGGGGAGTCTGCTTCAGGATTCTTTCTCCCTCTCTCCATGCTGCCGCCCCCCCTCCCCACCTGCACCCCCCCCCAAGTAAATCTTAAAAAAGAAAAGAAAAAGTTAGACTTTAATCTGATTAACAAGTGCTGTTGGGTTTATCTTGACGATCTATCAAATGTCTAACCGCTTCCTACTCCCTAACTATTATCACTGTGGTCCAGGCTACCATCTTATCTTGCCTGTATTGTTTTGTGTCTCCTCTTATGTGATTTCCCTCCTTCTACCCTAGTGGACCCCCCCTCTTCAGGGTTTTCTACATGGCAGCCAGGTGCTCCTTTTAAAATGCTAGTTACTATGTTATTCTCTTTCTCAGGATCTTTCATTGACCTCCCACTTACTTACAACAGTACCCAGTCCACACCTGACCTAGTCTTTAGTCTTCTCTTGGAGCTTCTTAGCTCTCTTCTCTTTGCTCACGCTGTTCCAGCCACAGTGGCTTTGTTCTACCTCTGTGTGTTGGTATAATTCTGTCTCAGATCTCTGCACTTGGCTTTTTGCATGTAGTGTTCTTCCCTAGATACATGCATGGCTCACTTCCTCACTTCATTCAGGTGTCTGCTTGATCCCTGAACACCTCAAAACAACTTTCCCCTCCCACCTTATCCTACCACATCTCCTTAATTTCTACATTATTTCCTTTAAAGGCATATATTACTACTTGTTAACTATACACTTCTTTAACTTTTTATTTTGAGATGACTGTAGAGTCATAGGCAGCAGTACAAAATAATATATAAAGGGATCCAGTGTTCCCTTCCCCAACGTTCTGCCAATTGTAACATCTTGAGTAGCAATAATAGAGTGTCGCAACCAGGAAATTGTCACTGATACAATCCATGGACTCCCCCCCCCCCCCCAGATTTCATCAGTTTTACCTGCACTTACTTGTGTTTATATTTAGTTCCATGTACATTTATGACATATAAACCTAACGTGACCACACTGCAGACAAGATAGAGAAAGGTTCAGCATGGGTCCCTCACACTTTGCTCCCCTTCATTAGCCATCGCTCCCTCTCTCCTACCCCTCCTGTGTTTTTTATGGTCCATTTATCACCCAAAGGCTGGGGGCCTTTGTGTGTTTTGTTCATCGTTGTATATTTAGCACCTAGAAAAGAGTGCCTGTCACATGATAAGTGCCCAATATATATTTGTTAAATGTTGATCGTAAAGGAAGTGCTCTCTTGTGAGGAAAAAAATATACACCAGTAAGCCTTGCCTTGTTTGAGGGCATACACAGCATATACCAGTTTCGATTTAATTTCTCCTCACAACCCATCTTCTCCCTCCCACCACCCTTGCAGGCTGAAATTCCTCTGACTCCCCAGTGAAATTGATCATCATTCATTGCTCAACTCATGGTAGTTTTATGGTGCAAGGCCTAGGAGTCTTGAGTAGAGGCAGACTAATAGTAGCTGTTTCATGGGCATTTTCTTGTTTTTTGTTTGTTTCTTTTTTTCTTAAAGATTTATTTATTCATGAGAGACAAAGAGAGAGGCAGAGACATAGGTAGAGGGAGAAGCAAGCTGGTGGGAGAGGAACCTGATGCAGGACTCGATCCTAGGACCCCGGGACCATACCCTCAGCCATGGGAAGACACTCAACCACTGAGCCACCCAGGCATCCCTCATGGGCATTTTCTTAAATTTGTTGGGTGGCCAAAACTCCTTGCTCACCTTCACCCACAGTAGTTAGATTTGAATTGAAAGTTGTGGCCAGTGCCATTTCTCTTTATGTATCCAAATGAAATTCCAGATGTTATTCCCTAAGCAGGATATGTTAGGGTCAGATTTTTTTCTTTCCTTTTTTTTTTTTTTTTTTTTAAAGATTTATTTTTATTTATTCATGATAGACATAGAGAGAGAGAGGCAGAGACACAGGCAGAGGGAGAAGCAGGCTCCATGCCAGGAGCCCTACGTGGGACCCGATCCCGGGACTCCAGGATCGCGCCCTGGGCCAAAGGCAGGGGCGAAACCGCTGAGCCACCCAGGGATCCCCTCCTTTTTTTTAAAAAAAAAGATTTTTATCTATTTATTTATTCATGAGAGACAGAAGGGGTGGGGGTGGGGGCAGAGACACAGGCAGAGGGAGAAGCAGGCTCCATGCAGGGAGCCTGATGCGGGACTCGATCCTGGGTCTCCAGGATGAGGCCCTGGGCCAAAGCCAGATGCTCAACCACTGAGCCACCTGGGCTGCCCAGGGTCAAATTTCTTATAGCATGTTAGTCTCTTTGCAAAGATATATTTTTGCTGTAGAACAACCTGATTCAGATGTCTTCTGCCTCTCTTGTTTACATGCTTCCTTTGAAGGAGTCAAGGTTGCTGAGTGTATAGAGGGCAAAAGATCAAGTGATGTTCTTCCACCTGACAACTTTATAGAAGTGAGTGCAGACCCAGCTCCTGAAGTCAGGTCCCTGGCCTCTCCACTGTGCAGAAGGGACGTTCCATCCTCTGAGACCTTTGTACTTCGTTCTGTGCTGAAGAAACCCTCTGTTAAGCTGTTTCCAGAAAGCCTGCAGGTAAGTTTAGATCTACTTCTCCTAAAGCAAATTGAATAAAAATTCATTTTGGTTTAAAACAATTCTTGTGATATGTTCTATATGTCATACTGGTTTAAAAGAAGTTATCTTGCCCTAATGTTTTCCCCTCCTTTTCTTACAGCACTATGCAGAGATCCTTCCTGCCTGCCTGCCTTTCTACCTACCTACCTTCCTTTTTTCTAAACTCAGTATGGAATATAACTTGTAGAATTTACTGTGGGTAGCTATATTTTGAGTTTCAGAGTTATTGATGTGTGAGTCTGTTAATTATTTCCACCTAAAATATTTGGTCTTAGAGATAGCTTTTTTATAGGCATATACCTTTCTCTAAACTCAGCTAGTATGAGCTAAGAGTAGATTGGTGGGAATTGGCTGGCGCTTACTATTAAGTACTTCCTTTTTTTTCTTTCTTGTTTGTGCCTGTACATGCACACAAACTATGGTGGGGAAGGGTAGAAGGAGAGAGAGGATCTTAAGCAGGCTCCATGCTCAGCACAGAGCTCAAGAGAGATCATGACCTAAGCCAAAATCAAGAGTCAGATGCTTAACTCACCGAGCCACCCAGGTGCTCCTTATTGAGTTCTTTCTACAGACAGTTCTGGTATATCATGTACATGCAGCACTGGTACTCCAAGGAGCCCCATTCTATATAAACTTACGCTTGAGGCTGTTAAATGAACCCAGGTAAATCTGATAGTGAAAGCCATGGCAGGCTGTAAATGCTGTGAGAGGTTGAGGGGGTGGCCTCTGGAGTCCACGTGCCTGATTTCAGATCCTCACTCTGAAGTTTAAGAAGTAGGCAGATTATTAACCTTTTTGTACCCTGGTTTTCTTATCTTTGAAACGACAATGTTAGTAACTACATTACATGGTGATTTGAGCATTTTAACTGGGATAATAATTTGAAATTAGCACAATGCCTGGCAAATGAGAAGTATTTTTTCAATCCGTAGACATTTAAGTATAGAACGATGCCTATACATCTTTAAAGCCAAAATGAACTAGACTACCTTCTATCTATCTACATGAATAGTTAATGGTCAATGGCTGTTTAAATGCTTAATAGTTTTTCTGGTTAAAGAGCTGACGTGAGTCTCTACAGCACTGCTCATTCATATCTTGTATTCATTTTATCTTCTCCTCAAACAGACTTAGCATCTTCATGGTCCAAATAACCCTTACTGATTAACAGCATTACATAGCAAACATCAAGTCCTACCACTAAAATTCTATGAAGATTTTTATAATCCAAGGTTTGTGGGTGTATACAGTTTGAATTGTTTGCTAATTTTCATGGTGGTTTTAATTAAAGATAGCCTAAAAGTTCACAAGAATTTTATTTTCTAAGCTCATTTATTTCACAAATACTGATATGAGTATTCTCCTCGTCAGGAAAATAAAATGGACTTGAGAGAGAGTTGCTCAAGAAGATTGGTTTGGGGCAGGACAGTTGCTTAGAAATGGTGCTGCTCTTGGAGCAAGTGCACTGGAGAAAATGAATAGCTCTAGAGAACAAGGGCTGGTCCGGGATGTAGGAAGCAGATGAGGATTTGGAGGTGACTTATGGACCCCACAGCCCTGGCTCTGTCCTGCTTGACTCCAGTGGGCCTGTGTTGAGTTTGGCCATGTCTGGTGCTTCAGGACTTGCACTGTCCCTTCCTCACCAGCTTGCCTACTCTATCATCTTTTGCTAAGTAGAGAGGGACAAATACTATCTTCTTTTCTTGTTCCTAACTCAAGAATACAGTAATGTGGGCGAGAGGTTTACATATTTATCAAAAGTGTGAGTCACGTATTTAAAGACAAAACACCCCATTATGTCATTTACCTTTTTGTTTTCTTGTTTTTGTGCAATTCTTATAACTGTAGTTAGTCTGCGTCATCTGGCACCATTTGTAGTATGACTCTAGCCACTGACATTTTCCATAACTTCATTTGCCAGATTAAAAATGATGAAGTGAATTTAGCCCATATTATGGATTTCTGTTCTTTAATTTTGGCCTAAAATACTGTTTACTGAACTAATGTTTAGGGCATCCAGTTTTTCTTTGTGGCTCATCATTAACCCCAAACCATTATGAAAGTGAATATAACCTGCAATGCTAAATAGTATCTAGATCTTGGCAGAAAAAGAAGTTCAAATTGTTCTTAATGTCTGTACATATGCATTTATATGTGTAAAATTTTTCATTGATATTTAGGAACACTGTGACAATCTCTGTGATGATGGGACTCATCCAAGCTTAATCTCAAATCGTGCAAACTGTTGCAAAGAACAAAAAACAGGTAAGAAATTCACATTTATTTTGAAGCCTGAGGATATCATTTCCTTGTGAATCATTTGATGGTAGTATGTGGTATTTTCAGTGATCTGCTAAATGCCCTGGTGCTTCTCACATTCTATGGGAATGGAGAATAGTTGGTTGGAATCTCTTTGGAGAGTTTCACAGTCGGTCTGTCCATTTTGCCTGCCCATTTGTGCTTAATGGTAACACTTGTAAAGGAACTTATTATTCCAATTTTGTAAACTTCTAAGATACTTATGCAAAATTTACTTTAAATCTATTACCATATTTTAGAACTGCTTCCTTTTCCATTTTGAATTTATGTTTTCTACAAACTATTTTATATTATAAAAGCTGTATCTAATTATGTTAAAAGATCCTAGTTTATGCATTTTTAGATAATTTTTTTATCTACTCATTTATTATCTATAGAAGGTCAAGAAAATTGTAAAGTGCCAGCCTTTCTAAATATCAGGAAGAGGAAGAGAGTTACTTTTGGAGAGGATCTAAGCCCTGAAGTGTTTGATGAGTCTTTGCCAGCAAATACTCCGTTGCGAAAAGGAGGAACACCTGTTCGAAAAAAGGATTTAAGTAGTATCAGTCCCCTGCTACTTGAGCAATCACCACCAGTTCCTGTGCAGTTGCAGTTATCACAACCAAATTTTGATGACAAGGGGGAGAATCTTGTAAGTGTGAAAAATGTGGAACAAACTTGTTTATATTTTCATCAGACCTCGCCTGTTTTGTGTGAACAATAATTATGCTTTGAAATCATGCAATGGACTAAATGATGTGTCATGGTAGAAATTAATGTGTTTTTCTAGGTAGGTTTTTTTTTTTTTTAACCCTGTGCTCATCATGACAAGTGCATGGGGTATTAACTGTGTTGTCATACTTGCATGACTCCTTGTACATGGCATATTTCTTGGAACCTAAATACCATTGACTGACAATGTACCATTGTTTTATGGACCACCAAGAAAAGATGCTAGAAGTTAAGCTGTCACACACCATGAATTGTAAGCTGCACTCAGGTTTCAGAAGTGGGAAAATGTGAAAGAGCAACAACCTTAGAACTGATTTGCTGTAAATATAAACTTTTTCCCTCTAAGATGAATTTCTGTAGGTAGAATTAATTGATGAAAAAATAGGAACGTTTACCTTTTTAATACATATTGCTGAGTATCCAGAAATTGTACCAATTTGGACTTAACAGCAGTATAAATGGTTTTATTTTACCATACTTTGTAAGCTTTGGGTATGAACTTCTACTTTTTAAAATAGCTTAATAGGAGAAAAAGATGACTTGAAAATTTAGTTTCCTAATGAGGTTTGAACATTTTTCATGTTTATAAGCCATTTAAATTTCTTCTCTAGAGAATTGCCTGTTAATCTTTGCCCGTTTTTATATTGGAACCATCATTTATCCTCTCCCTTGCCTTACACTTTGGAATAAGAATATTGCACTTTTAGCCAATGTGGAGTAACAGGGACCTAATTTATGTTTTCAAGAAGAACAACTAAAACAAACAAAACCCAAAATATACAAAATGGTTGTTCTGAGACATTGACCATCAGGATGGGCAGGATAGTGACAAATGAGGCAAACTGCACAAGAGCCCCAACTTAACTGCCCAAGCTGGGTGTCCAGGCCACAGCACAGGAGGGGTTAGCCTGGCAGTTTCCATGAGCTGAGAAAATGGAGTTGGAGTCTGGGAAAGCAGAGGGGCTAGAGCTCATGGCAAAAGACCAGAAAGGAGAGAGCTGCACAGAGAGCTCTGGAGATCTGCAAAGGTTTTCACTGGAGACTTAGCTGAGCAGCTAAGTACTGGTCAGTGCGTGCTTGTGAATAAACTGCCTGAAGCCAGGGAAAGGACTACCCAAATGGAGCAGAGGAAACAGTCCCTGCAGCTACAGGGAAGAAGGAAGTGTTACCACCAACCTAAGTGGTAGAAACACCTTATATTTCAGAGGGCATCCGATACTCAGGAGCGTATTGCCTCACTAGTTGCACAGAATTAGCTTAGCAAGCTTTGAAAGGACACAAATTTACTGCATTGTACAACCTAGCTCAAAAACAGCAACACTATCCAGTGTCAAATAACATTAAACTCAAAATGTCTGACTTTTCAATAAAAAACTAATGGACATGTAAGAAAAGATACCCCATGATGAGGAGGAAAATCAGTCAAGAAAAGTAGATCCAGAAATGACACATGTGGTAGAATTTATAGACGAAGACACTGAAAAAGTTACTTTAACTATCTTTGATATGTTCAAGGCAGAGAAAAGATTGGACATGCTGAGAACATGAAGGATACAGAAAAGATCCAACCTGAATTCTATACATTATAGTCACTGAAAATTATAATCTGCTGGAAGAAAAATATGTTGAATGAGAGTAAGCATATTAAAGACTCCAAAGGAAAGATTAGCAAACCTAGAGAAGTAGCAATAGAAATTATTCCCCATGAAAGAGTAGAAACGACTGAATAAAAATAAGCAATTGGTGAGCCTAGGACAACTTTAGGTGGCATAATATGCATGTAATTAGAGTCCCCAAAGAGAGGAGAGATCAGAAAAAACAGAAAAAGATACTTAAATGGCTGAAAATTTTCCAATTTGATAAAATCATAAACTCACAGATCCTAAAGTTCAAATTCCCAGTGCAAGAAATATGAAATTGTACACAAAGACACATCATTGCTTAGAATCCATGATCAATCAACAAATACGAGAGGCAACAGAACTCTCGTTAGAAACTGCTAGCTAAAGGACAGTGCAGCAGCATTTACTTGGAGCAAAAAAAGCAAAACAATAACAGCAACAAAACTTGTTAATCCAGTGGGGGATCCCTGGGTGGCGCAGCAGTTTAGCGCCTGCCTTTGGCCCAGGGCGCGATCCTGGAGACCCGGGATCGAATCCCACGTCGGGCTCCTGGTGCCTAGAGCCTGCTTCTCCCTCTGCCTATGTCTCTGCCTCTCTCTCTCTCTCTCTCTCTCTCTCTCTGTGTGTGTGTGTGACTACCATAAATAAATAAAAATTTAAAAAAAAATCCAATGAAAACCATCTTTCAAAACAAAGGTGAAGGACAGGCTTTTTCCAACATCTGGAAGCTGAGAGGATTCATTGCCTTAGCAGGTTAGCATTAGAAGAAATGTTAGAGGAAGTCCTTTGGTCAAAAAAAAAAAAAAAATTCCCAATTCAATCCAAAAAAGGAATGAAGAGCACTAAGGATGCTCACTCATCCTCAGTGGGCAGATTGTAACAGACTTTTAAAAAATTATTATTAATCTCTATAAAAGATTATTAAAACAAGAATAATAATAGCATGTGTTTTGGTTTATAGCATATGTCAGTAAGATCTACAACAGAAGTAACATGGTGTAGAGTCTGGGAGGGGTTTTTAGGGTGTACATAAAGTGGTGGGAGTTAAACATGTATGCTGTAAACCCTAAACACGACAAAACAACAAAAATATGTGGGATGCACTGAAGCAGGCTTGGAAATAATTGAAGTCTGTATTTCAACATAAGAGACGTCTCAAAGTAATTATTTCAACTTCCACTTTAAGAAACTAATAGAAGAAAGCAAATTAAAGCCAAAATAAACAGAAGGAATTAATAAAGACAAATGCAGAAATCAATGAACTGAAAAAATCATCGAAATAAAAAGATAATGCTTTAGAAAAATAATATGGGTAAACTTCTGATCACACTATTCAGGGGAAATACTCAAATTACCAATATAAGGAAAAAAAGGTGGTTTGACCACATACTCTAACAGGTTTTAGAAGGATAATACAGATAAAAGGATAATAAGTATTATGAAAAACTTAATGCCAATCAATTCAACAACATAAACTAGACACGTTCTTTGAAACATACAAACAGCCACACCTCATGCTAGAAGAAATAAATTACTTCATTAGCCCTATATCAACTGAAGAAATTTAAGTTGTAGTTGAAACCTTCCCACAAAGAAAACTGCATATCCAGATGATTTTGCTAATAAATTCTACCATATACTTAAGGAAGACCTAAATTTATGTATATTCTTTCAGACAATTTGAGGAGGTAGGAGTAATTCCCAGCTCGTTAATGTCAGCATTAATTTAATATCATAATCAGACATCATAAGAAAACTAGAGCTCAATATCCTCATGAACATCATAATATATAAAAAAGTACTACATCATGACCAAGTGAGATTTAACCCAGAGATGCCAGTTGGTTTGATATTTGAAAAAAAAATCTATAATTTACATTATTAACAAACTAAGAAAAACCATGTGGTCACTTCTGATAAGAAGTCTGAGCAAACTGGTGATTAAAGAAGATTTCTTCAAACTGACAACTTCTATTTATGAAAAGCCAACAGCTACTATCATACTGGTAATTAGGTGGGAAAGAAAAGTTTTGACATCTGCATTTATATTGCCGTTCCCCTGAATAATATTGAAATGTTAGGTTGTGCTTATTAATGGAATGTCCTATTTACTGTAGAGTTAGGACATGTGATTTTAAGTAAACCGAAGAGGAACTTGTTAGTGGATCATTATGGCTACTTCCATTTAATATTTCATTTGTTAGACTGTAGTTAGTAAACATAGTTTCGTTAAAGATTGGTAAAAATTATAAAATCTTTTTATATTCAATATCTTTGTTTTGCTTTGACCTTTTTTCTTAATCTTTTATTGGTTCCCCATCCCTATGCTTCCTGCAGTTCCACCTACAAAAATAAATCCTTATTTTCTTTTGGGCACATTACATGTCCACTGAATTTAAGGATGTCTAATTTCTATTCTTGTTTTTCTTTGTTTAGGAAAACATAGAACCTCTTCAGGAATCGTTTGCAGTTCTGAGTCCTCTTAGTAAGCCTTCAATCTCTGAGACTCTTTCAGGTAGTAACTTTTATTTATCTTAAAATCAGACAAGTGTCATTTTCAGTATTTATATCTATGAAACTAAATCTAAATTTCTTTTTAAAATTTTATTATAACAATGCATGTTTGGTTTTTAAAAACCATGTAGTATAGAAAAGCTTATAAGAAGTCTCTTGGGGTACCTCGGTGGCTCAGTCCATTAAGTGTCTGACTCTTGATTTCGGCTCAGGTTGTGATCTCAGGGTCGTGAGATCCAAGCTCAGCAAGGAGTCAGAGCCTGCTTGAGATTCTCTCCCTCTCCTGCCCCTCCCCCTGCTTGTGTGTTCTCTCTCTCTCAAATAAATAAGTGAGTCATAAAAGAAGAAGAAGAAGAAGAAGAAGAAGAAGAAGAAGAAGAAGAAGAGGAGGAGGCGGAGGAGGAGGAGGAGGAGGAGGAAGGAAGAGAAGAAGAAGAAGAAGAAGAAGAAGAAGAAGAAGAAGAAGAAGAAGAATTTTTTTCTACATCCAGGTCCCACACTTTGTAATCACCTGCAGTTAACTTCTGTAGGCAGTAGCCCCATTTTTCAGGTCTTTGCAGGCAGTGGATTTGCCCTCCCAACTCTTGTCAACAGTAAATTCCTTGTGACAATTGGGAAAACTGAACGATGTGGATCATAAGGGTCATTTTTCAATTTCCAGAAGTGTTCACCAACATTAAGTTGACCTTTTGGGCCCATGTACCTTTTGAGGTCCCTGGCTTGTTTATGGTCATGAAAAGGTAAGCCAGGACTTGGGTGGCAGACATCATGGGGACCATTATTCTTGTCTCTCCCCTGACGGAAATCTGTTAATGGCTTCTCATTAGCTGGAAGAGACAAACCAGGTTCACGGGAACAGAATCCAAGACATGGAGTGTGAAGTTAGAGCTAAACCTAGAAGTGTAGTCTGTCATGATCCAAAGCCCATGCTCTTTTACACATTATACTACCTTTCATTTATACCATTAAAAGGGATCAAATGAAAAAGTACCTGAATTTTGTAAGTTAAAAAAATTACTTTCATGATCATTTTAATGCCCTTTTTTTTTGCAATTTCATTGTACAAAATGTAGCTTGGAATAAAGTGACATCAGTGAGAATATGGTATTTACTGTAATGTGATTTAATCTGTTGTCTTAGGGTAATATGGTATGCTTTCTCCATGGGAAGTGGTAAAAGTTTCTGGGTTTTCAGTAAACTTTAAGTTTTAAAACATGTATCTGAATCTCAAAATTTATTCTTAGTAATTATGTTTAGATACTATCTTCTGCTAAAAGCAGAGGTGAGTATCCAAAGCAGTATCCAGTGTATTTGAAAAATGATGGCTCTTACAACTTTTTGTTGGCTATCCTAATTTTGCTTGTGTCTTCCTCATCAGGCACTGATAGCTTTAGCTCTTCAGAAAACCATGAGAAAATAGCCTCCTGTAAAGTTGATGGAATCACACGGGCCTCTAACAGAAGAAATGTAAGTGTTTGTATTTGGCACAATGTATTTGTTTTTAAATCTTACTAGAGGGATCCCTGGGTGGCGCAGCGGTTTGGCGCCTGCCTTTGGCCCAGGGCGTGATCCTGGAGACCTGGGATCGAATCCCACGTCAGGCTCCCGGTGCATGGAGCCTGCTTCTCCCTCTGCCTATGTCTCTGCCTCTCTCTCTCTCTCCCTGTGTGACTATCATAAATAAATAAAAATTTAAAAAAAAAAAATAAATCTTACTAGAGATTTCTTCTGTCTTTATGATCACATCATTTTGAATAAAATCTTGATTTAATTAGTGTCACTGAGAGCTAATAGCCTATAACCAATGGTAATGTTCTTTTTCTGATTTGATTTTAATTCTGTTAGAAAAAAATACAATAAAACAAGATGCTTTCAGAGTTTGTGTTAATGTAGAAGGTAATCCATTTGGCACATTTGTTTGGGATCTATATGGTTTTATGAATTTTTACTGAAGTACACAGTGGAGAAGAGTAGTGTGTAATTACAAGAGCCAGAAAATGGCATAATTATAACTTTTTTTTTACAAAAACATTGCATTTTTTTTTTTAACACTGGGTTTTAATTCTTTTCAGTAGGAGCATAACTTTCATTGGGTGTGTGTCTTTTCCTATTCCATTAAAAAAAAATTGGATTTTTGTCTAAATTCGTAAATATATACCATTATAGGGCTTTTAGCTGACATTGTTGGATGATAAATCCAGGATTCACATTTAGATAATCTAAGTGCATATCCCCCCTGCCATAACTCAATAGCAGTTAGCTACTAAGTTGTAGATGCTTAGTAAATATTTCATAAATGAATAAATCAACTGATTTTAAACTTTTTTTCTCCCTTAAAATAATGGACAGAGTGCATATGCTTCTGGTTCTAAGTTTAATAAGATCAGAAATTAGTAATTAGTGAGCACCTCCATTTGAATTTAAGATGGTTAAAATACTTCTAATAGAATTGGTCAATTAGAACTGGGATAGAAAACGTAGAAGCAGCGTGGGGAGGAAAATATGAGAAACACATGTCAAAACGCACTTGCTTGTGTTTTATGGTATCCCTCCTCTAAATTTGCTTTATAGCAATTGATCACTTTTGCGGAAGAGAATGTTTGCAACTTACTTAATACAGAAGCTCAGCCTTGCAAAGAAAAGAAAATGAATAGGAGGAAATCTCAGGAAAGGAAGCTCACAAGAAGAGTACTTCCTAAAAAGAATCAGGTAAGTGTGTGTATAAAGATATAGTAAGAGTGGAAGTCGTACATTTCTTTGTTGTAGGATTAGGAAAGCAAGGAAACAGAATTCTTCCAGTTAACGTTGAACCAAGAGTATTAAAATCATCATTATCATCATTAAATAGAAAGGGTCCGAGGCAGTTATATACTCAGCTGTAATTACCCGAGGATCATTTTTGTGTTGTCTTCATTGTGTCATGTACATTCAGCACAGTAGAACACGAGCACCCCGATGTTAAATTGATTCTTACCTTTGAATCTAATCTAACCTCACCCTATGAGAGGAATCTTTTTTTTTTTTTTCTATGAGAGGAATCTTGTAATTTCTTAGAGATGAGTGTGCCATCTGCTGCTTGTTTGACTTAGCTTCTGCCAATGGCTGGATCTCTTCCTGTATTTAAAGAAGAATGTAGAAACGGGCTCTTCATCTTCCTCAACACTTCAGGGCCTGTGCTGGCTCAGGTGACTTCACTGTGTCTTTGTGGATAGCTGATCCAGCAACTTGACCCGGTGGACCCTTTCCACTTCAGTGATCCACACACCTTCCTCTGCCATACCCCACAGCTTGTTGGTACCTAAGACCTTTCCACTTTTAGTAGTACACACTTCTGTGTCCCATTCTCTGACCCCAGCTGCCTCTCTGTCCAGCCTTCTCACTCCCTTACTCACATGCGTCATCTGGCCCCTCTGCGTACCCTCCAGCATTCAGATATCCTGTCATTTCCTCCGTTTCCTTGTTCACCCTAAATTGCATGAGCAGTTTCACCAACTCTTGTCAGTAACCTCAGTCCTCTATCCCTTTCATTCCACTTCAACTCTGGATTAATCCACCACTGTCCCCTCTCCCATCTAACATTGCTCCTGGAGAGGCTCACAAAGGTGCTCCTGCTGCAGAGTCATAGTTTCAGATATTGTCTGAAGTCAGCTTTCATTTTCCCCCTCTTCACTCTAATCTTTTTCCCAAGGTGTTGAGTTAACTAGTGACTAAACTGCAGTGCAACCTTTGAGTTCTTGTGCTTGGTTGCCACCTCCACAGAATTTGGCATAATTGAGAAAATCCCTTTACAGTCTCTGTTAAAGGTTTATTTTTTTTTTCCACCCACCCTTAGTTTGTACTACCCAGAGTTCTACTCTCTGCCTTTCTAAATCGTGTATTTTCTGGGTAATGTCATAGGTGGCATGGTTGATGCCTCCCAAATCTTTCTAATGTATAAACATAATTAGTGGCCTACTATATTTCTCTTCTTAAACCATCCTGCAAGCACCTCAGATATCAGCTTTTCCAAAACTAAACTCAATTTTACCCCAATATCCTGGCCACCAAAACAGTAAACTTCCATCCTGTTCCATGAAACAAAAACTGGTTTAAACATGGCCCAAACATCTGCAGTCAGCAAAGCCAGAAAAAAGCTGGAAGTTTTCCTGGTTTAATCCCTCTTTTAGATCCCAATCTTTTGAAAGATCCCCTTGCTGAAAAAAACACATATGTTCAGAAATATGCATGTACCTCTATTACTGTATCAGAAATTGGTTTTCTTTATACTCTTTAAAAAACACTGCTACAAAGAATGTACACATACTTTTTGACATAAAATCAATAGCCAGAAAGTTCAGGGAGCATTGAGCATTAAGGTTTGTTTCAACCCCTCCCAGGACCCCATGGAATTAAAATAATAGATATAATAAAGAGACTAGACTCAGAATAGCACTGAGAAGAGGAAGGAAGTAAGGAGGGATATTAAGCAACAGATGACAGCCTTCAGTGAATCTCTGGAAGACAAGGTGGATGAGGGCACATTAACAGATGCAAGAGGTGGATTTACAGCCCAGAATGTTCTTAGAGGGAGCCAGAGAGGCATTGGGAGCCAGCTTGCACGTGGCAATCCCAGGAGACTTTGGGCCCAGTATTGGGAGATCCAGTGGATGGTGAGAGTGAGGAGTGGTAGTAGGTAACAGAGTAAACGAAGTTCTGTATTTGAGACTGTTTGCACCAGTTGGCACTCCACCCCTGTCCCTCCATGTTCTCCCATCTCAGAACAGATGTTATCATGAAAGTGAAAGCCCATAGTCCCATTCTGGCATTTGGAAAGTCCCATAGTCCTGACAGCCTGTTCTTGCCCTAAAGCACAGCCTACCCACTGATACTCCTCATTCTGCCCTGCCTCACCCTGCACAGAGTTGCCAATAGAATTTCCATGCAGGAAAAAGACTGAGATGGAACGCAGAGGAAGCTCAGACCAATTTATCCAGTCTTTCCTTATGTAAAACCAGATAATTGAGTAGGAACAAGAGATGAAAGATCAATATTTAAAAGTTGAAAAACTTACCCCAGAAAGAGATGCTATTCTGGGAATGGATGGAAACTTTATTGAAAAAAATCTAATCTACTCAGATTTAAGAAAATATTATCTGCATGAAAGAAGAGGATCCTATGAAATAGGAGCAGAGGAAAAAATAGTCATATATATGTAAAATCTAGTAATTGGACTAGACAGTAAAGTTAAGGAAAGTCTCCTAGGAGGTAGAGCAAAAGAGAAATAGACTAGTAATAAGAGATGTAAAAACTAAATCTAGGAGACTATGTAGGTATCTCAGAAAGAAGAAGATAGAATGAGAGAAATTGTCAAAAGAAGGGATTTCCCACAACAAAGGAGTCTTCGGGTTAGAAGGACCTACTGAATGCCTAATAAAATTTAAAAAAAAAAAGGCCAAGTCTTCAGCCTGTCGGTATGAAACTGAGCAATAAGGATGACAAGAAAAGTGGACTTTTCCTCCCTGGAAACAAGAATCTGAATAGTAAGTATCCAGTTTAACAGTAGTCGAAATGCTGAAAGATGATTGAACAGGATCTTTAAAGTTTTGAACGAAACTTGATTTCAGCCCAATACTTTGTACCCAGTCAAATTCAATTAAGTGTAGAAGAAAAAACAAAGACATTTAGACACTCAAGGACTTTGAAAGTTTTTCTTTGGATTATTACTGGAGGAGATACTCTAGGAAACTGAGGAAGTAAGCTTAAGGATTCAGAACACACTGGATCTAATGATATGGGAGAGCAGTATGAGGGAAATCTCTGAACATGGTTGTTCAGCCAACCTAGAAGAGCAACCAGGCCAAATTTGAGCAAGAAGAAAGGGTGCTCCAGGGAGAAGGTGTTTGGAGAGAAAAACAAAAAGACCAATGATTGAGAAAGGAGAAGGTGTATCATATAAGAAGAAAAAAAAAGGTAGTTACATACATATACCATTTCAAATAAAAGCCTGTGTATAAAAGTTTTGGAGTAAATATGAAGCAAACATTAATGTGATTACAAGCAAGTGTAAGGGAAAGTATGTTTTACAGTGCTAGGAATCATCTACAGGGGGCACCAGAGGAAAGGAATATGAGCTTTGTCCTTGGCAGAGCAATGAAAAAAATTTTACACAGTCATGATGTGAATGCTATTTGTTTTCAACTAAGAGCAAAGCTTTAAGAACTGGATTGTGTAAGACGATCTAAGTGTAGCTGCTAGCAGAAGGTGAAAAGTGGATAGAGAAGATGTGAGGATGTTAGTTAGCATTCACTGTAAGGGAGTTAACAGTGCAGGTTCTATTGCCAGACAACCTAGATTCTAAATTCTGGCTTGACCACTTCCTACCAGTGGAATGGCAGGCAAGATTCTTGATTTCTCCATTGTTTTTAAAATAAAGGGAATAGTGGTACTTAAATTTAAAAGCCTATTGTGTGCATTAAACAAGTTAATATATGTAATGTGCTGGTGCCTGGCCATAGTAGGCACTGTGGCTGTCATTAGGATTATCTTACAGATTAGGGGTTCAGGGTATATTTTGAATATTGATGAAAAGAAACATTTACCTTTTGACCCAGCAATCTTGTTTCTGGGAATCTGTCTCAGATCCATATGCCACAAAAAGGCATATGAGCAAAGATATTTTTTTGCAGTACCCTTTGTAATGCAAAAAACACAAAAACTAAATACCTATCAGTATGAGACTGGTTGAATAAACTATGGTGTGTTGCCAAGTATTTTATAGCTGTAGAAAAAATAGTGAAGAGAATTTCCAATGATAGAATGATGTCAGGATGTCTTTACTGTTGAGTGAAAAAAAACAAGGTGTAAAAATAACATAGAGTAGGCTTCTTGGTACTGAATTGTGATCCCACTCCCACACTGCCCCCAAAATATTTCTTTTTTTTTTTTTAATTTTTATTTATTTATGATAGTCACACACAGAGAGAGAGAGAGAGAGAGAGAGAGGCAGAGACATAGGCAGAGGGAGAAGCAGGCTCCATGCACCGGGAGCCCGATGTGGGATTCGATCCCGGGTCTCCAGGATCGCACTCTGGGCCAAAGGCAGGCACCAAACTGCTGCGCCGCCCAGGGATCCCCCCCCCCCCAAAATATTTCTTTGTTGAAACCCTGACCTCAGGCACTTAGTGGCTCAGTGGTTGAGCATCTGCCTTTGGCCTGATCCTGGGGTTCTGGGATTGAGTCCCGCATCAGGCTTCCAGCAGGGAGCCTGCTTCTCTCTCTGTGTCTCTGCCTTTCTCTCTCTGTCTCTCATGAGTAAATAAATCTTTAAAAAAAAAAAAAAAAGGGAAGAAACTCTAAGTTAACATGAGACCATTGGGATGGTCTCTATTCCAATGTGACATGTGTCCTTATAAGAGGAAGTTTGGATACAAAAGGAGACCCTAAGTGTGCACACAGCCAGGGAGAAGACCAGCTAAAGAGGCAGCAGGAAGGGGATCCCTCGGTAGCTCAGTGGTTTAGCGCCTGCCTTGGACCCAGAGCGTAATCCTGGAGTTCTGGGATCAAGTCCCACATCAGGCTCCCTGCATGGAGCCTGCTTTTCCCTCTGCCTTTGTCTCTGCCTCTCTCTCTCTGTGTGTGTCTCTCATGAATGAATAAATAAAATCTTAAAAAAAAAAAGAAGCAGCAGGAAGTTGCCATCTGCATACGGAGGAAGAAGACCTCCTCCGAGA